TCATTTAGCTTAAATTTCCATGTTTATCATCTTGGTAATTTGTACTGTGCTATGAAACACAAAATAATCGCAATACAGACAAAAAGATAGAAAATGGAAAATGGTATAGATCCAAAAACATGTCGCCAGTATCAAGCAATATTTCAACATAACATGCCCATCGATTAAAAGCGTCTATAAACTATGTCATTAACTACAAAATATTCAAAATAAAATTCTGTTTCCCATATATATATTGAAACGAGATCAAATTGACTTCTACTTACTCGCTTGAAGGGCCGTTGAAGGTGCGAATGATGCAAGTCCTGAATATATTAACTGTAGAAATATAAAAATTAAAACGACAAAAAATACAATATGCATGCGAAGCTCACCTATTATTCAATGTTCGAAAACAAATAATTCATCGGTGACCTTTGAAGTTCAGCAAGGTTAGATTTTATAATAAAGGTGATATCAAGCAGGCTAACGATATCTACTAAGTACTATCAATCTGACTGGTCTTGGTTTGGAGATTATACTTTAAACGTACTTATTTTAGCGCACTCGAAGTTAATGCATTATCCACTTTTAATGCATTGATGAACGAACGCATCCAGAAATATACAAAAGAGAACAATATACAAGAAGAACTTCATATTCATAATTTAATAAAATATGTACGTTAACGGTACTTTATGCTTTCTTATTGGAGTTTGAAGTCATGGTAATATCTTTAAACAGATAAGAAAATGTGAAATCCCAGCAAAACAAAAAAAAAAAAAAAAAAAAGCCTTACATGTTAAAATAAAGGTTTAAGGACTTTTGGTACATGTTGTTTTCAGTTTGTTCTTTCACACAATTCACATCTTTGACGAGGAAAGTAGGTCAACGTAATTCGTACAGAAAATCAAAGTGTACGTGTGAATCAAGCCAAATATCTTTACTTTGAATTTGATTGCTTTTAGGATTTTTCGACTTATTTTAAGGAACCGTATATTATTATGCAAGGAAGGGACCACTTTCGGTTGAGGCCAAAAATTCCTCCAACTTTATGGATCAATTTTCGTTATTAAAAAAAATCATGTACACGATATACCAGCAAATTAACTGATTTTTTAGTTTCCCCAATCGGAACATTGTCTTTTAGAGAATTGTCTTCATCCACCATCCAAAGCATTTGCCTGATTAACAACACTCAATGCCGGGCAGCTACTGACTATAATGCATAGCCCCAGAATTTTGCAGTTTTCAGGAGTCGTTAAAGGGAAATGTTGAATTGAATGGCAGACAGAGGGCTAACAACACTTGATATCAAAAGGTCACAAACACAAAGTTTGAGCCAAGTGAACAATAATATAAGATAAATTTACGTGCGATTGTATTGTACCACATATAAGCGTGTTAATACATAAATAAAAAAGTTGCATAAAAAGGTTAAATTTCAAACCCTTGAAAACCAATCAGGGATTAATGAAGAATTGAAGACATACAAAGGCCATGGCTTACTGTGGAGATGGTGTTGATGATAGTTCCTGTCAGTTTAGCAGCTCGAGAGTTAAACCGGAGTTCAAGGTACTGCAACAGAAATAAATATATTTTTATAGAGTTCAACCATCTGGCTTGGTGATACGACTAGGCTAGTGACAAAGTCCATATGAGCAATCGTTAGATCAGTGCTTGAACAAAAAGCTATATTCCTGTTTTTGATTCAAATGAAGGATCTTAGGAATAGACTGCTTCATGGAATTTGAACATTTAGTTTCAACTTAGCATTCACATTTCCTATAAATGACATCAAAAAACAGTTCCATGCTTGAGGCCTTGTGTAGGCTTGCCAGAATGAGAACGTAAGCATGTAATAAAATGGTACAGTATACTTAAAATATAAACTTTATTTATTGAACAACAATTATGAAACAAGTTATTTCAACTTATATTAATCATTCTTGTTGGCCCGGATGTTAGCGCGTGAGGGGGGGGNGTCATAATGTGGGAGGAAACCGGAGTACCCGGAGAAAACACACGTGATCGGGCAGGTGACCCCCCAACCTTTTCACGTCCGATCGGGGAATCGAACCCCGGCCGCCTTGGTGAAAGGCAAGTACGCTATCCACAGTAAATTTGATTTACCTGTCCCCGTATTTCAGTAATACTGCTTGACCCCTTGATCGGGATTTTATACCTGTATATGGAAATACTAGAATATAACATATAACTTTCAAACATATGGGACCCCTGTATTTGCTTTACTTCGACCTCAAACAATATGTGGGCGATTCAATGTATGCATCATTTTCCCTCAGTACAGTAGCTACGGTAGAGAGGCCCGAATGGGGATTACTCTGAATGTTAAATATATAAAAACAGTTATGATTATATTTTACCTCGTACATACTGGTCAACCTTAGTGGATAGAACAGCGGAACGTAAACAACAGATGCCAGCAACACCGCAAGCATCTGTCCAAATGTGTACAAGTAGTACTGGGTCCCCTTGGTGTACATCTCAGCCGGGGCACCTAAAATCAATATGGCGGACTGGAACAAGACAAGGATGGACAGGGCCGTCGGTATCAGACTCATTTTCCTGTTTCCCATCAAGAACTCTCCGGTAGTTCTCTGTCTACCGCCTGCCAGGGCATGGTAAATACCAATTCCAACAGACACCAGAAGTATCACGACGAAAACGATCTAATCGTAAACATCGAAGTTCCGTGCCATAGCTATCTCGTGTCCGACGCTAAATGCTTACGTTGTATAGATGGCCGAGCGTTATCGGTTGTTATGATTGTTCACATTGAACATTGACACTGTACGTATTTTGGAGTGTTTACCTAACAGGAAACATCTTATAAATATACCTTTCCGGATATATATACACTGTACATCCCATCCGACCCATAAAAGGTAATATATTTATCTTAGCGGGCTAAAATTTAAGCGTATTATCACATTTTAACAAATAAGCGCTTTGATGAATTGGCGCAATCATAAAATATGCAAAAGAAAGGCTATCTAAAAAAAATTCACCTGTGAAATCATAATTAAAAGCAATACTTAAAGCGCGAAGGCGCTAAATTTAGGAACACCACTAACATATGTAAATGTACAGTGCCTACTGCTTTCAAGACTGTTGTTGTGGTGTTTCATGAGCAATATTCAAACTCGTCATCTAAAATCAATGAGGTATCATCAGAGAATAAAACGTCATTAATACCTTGACCTTTATCATTGCAATATTACTGGAATATTTTGTTAATAAATATTGTTTCATATTTTTCGTTTATGAAGGCAATTACTCCCCTTCCTGGCACTTTGATATCTTAATTTAACATTATAGCTGTTTATTTCGCTTAATTTGCTTTAGTTTTAAATGTGCATATTCGGACATGATTCCCGTAAATTCTTTCATTGAAATATACCGTTGCAAAATTAACGCTATTCATTTGTTCTTCATTTTTGAAATCTGAATTGTATAGGTCTTTCAAAACATTCGGAGCTATAAAATCTATTAAAACATATGCACGTAGAAGTGATGTTTTTTTCATTCTTAACATATTTTGTTTAAGGTTTAGGATTCCCCCAAACCCTAACGCAAATTGAAAAAAATGGTCACGTATTGAAATTGGAGAAATCTTTACATCAAATATTACTTCTTAAAAATAAATCTATGCATAATCAATTTGTGTGGCATGTTTTTTCTATAATTCTTGTTAGGTCAGAAATCATTTTCATATGCTGTTGAACATAAATCCTGCTGTTGAGTCATAAATGAACGACAAAAAATGTCCACCTAATTTTCTGTCTGCATCCTCAACAAACTTTTCAGATATGCACTTACTTTCTTCTTATTTTTAGCTGTTACTTTACTAATAGGAAGGTTTAAAATCCTGTTTGAAAACGAAATCGTTTGTTGTTTCGTTAAGCCATACTTTTTTTGAATGGCTTGACATCATCAATGTGTTAAATAACGTCTTCTTATGTACTCTGAACGTTAAATAACGTTGATTAAAATACGCTGTCGTGTTAAGATCGTTGATATCCCAGGTATACTTTCCTATCAATAACATCGGTTACGATAAGCCTTAAGGTAAATAATATTCTCTTATGTAAGTCAAATACTCCATATTGCAATACCCCATATTGCATTCAGTGACTCAATGTTCCTTGTATTATGTCAAAGGACATCTGTTAAAAGAGAAAACAAAATCTCAGCTTTGTCAGATTCACGGGGCTTAAGGTATTCATTATATATTCAAACATAGGAAATCTATTATTAGCTCTCGGGTACGGGCGTTGAAAGTCGATTTTTGTGGCACAGATATGTGTTTATCTATATAACGAAGAAATCCATGTTTTCAAATATTTCAAAATATTGTTTAGAGTATGCGCGGTGTTTTATTCTATGATAATTTGTTTATATGCACTATGAAAATATACTGCTGTAGTAAAAGTATAACTTTAATAAAGGAACTAATCAGCTATGAAAGAAAAGACTATCCGGTATAATATCCGGAAGAAATTGTCTAGTCGCCAAGTCATCGATGGTTTAATTACTTCTAATCAAGCTATTATTCACATAAAATACATAGCTGGTTTACTTTACAACAATTATGAAATATGTAATAATATCGGATAGTAATCACCTTTACGCGCAAAGGGTCTCTATGTGAAAGGAAACCGGAGTACCCGGTCGGAGAGTTAACTTAATACATTTCTATGTCCGACCCCTGAATGTCTTGGTCAAACACCACCCAAATAACGCATTACGCATGAGTGTGTCGCACTATAATTTAACTTACTTTTCTTTTGTATTGCACTCCATCACGTCTTCTTAATTAGATAAAAATCAGCAAGATATAAACTGTTACATGGTGAAATATATCAGAAAATTATATCTTTACAATCGAATTTATTACAAAAATGAATAATGATATGCTATGAACAAAGTGACGCTTGGTGGAGAGACGAGTAGATAGACAAACTGAACTATCGCCCTGTTTTCCACGAGTTATATCCAGGCGATTGCATTTATATATCTCATGAATGCCAACCTGCTTAGCTATTTCACCTGTTATTTCAATGACATTCTCTCTCTATATATACAGCTGTTCCTATGCCATCCTCGATATTCCAGAGGTTACGCTCACCTACGCTCTTTGTACCCTTGAATATGTCGTAGCGAAATTGAAGGCATCCGGCTAGCTATTAGATTGGTCTCTGTAAAAAAATCATCTGACCAGGTTTATACTTGTCCTTTGACGATCACAGGGGAGCAGCATCCGCATTTACAGCATGTCATTTTTACAGTAACGCTACGCTAATGTACATCATTAGTTATACAGTTCTTTGGCAGGGGGCCTTCGGCTCAGGGTACATGTGGTCCTGACAGCAAACATGAGACCATGTACCCTGCCAAAGACCTATATAACGAATTTGTCATACTGCGAAGCCATTTATAGGTTGGGACTCGTGTTTGCCAGAAAACAGATACTGTGTAGGGCGGTA